CGTTGTAACCTGCCATCAGCCCAGCGAGAATAAGGTATTTTTCAAAGTTAAAAAGTTAAAGGCAGCGGTTCGGCAAAATTTCGTTTTACAGTTTTCACCTTTTCCGGACCTTCTCGCCATGAGGAATCCATATTTGGGCTTTCCCGCGCATGAAAATGGCAAAAACGAGCTTTTCTTGAGGTTTCCCAGGTCCGCATTTAGTGCAAAGTACGCGTAAGTGTGCGGAGCTCGAACGGAGAAAGGCGGGGGGCTGAAGACTTCTGGGGTATTTGCATTGCATGTGGACCTGAAAAGCATTGTAAAAGGCTCACTTTCGCCATTTTCGTGCGCGGAAAAGACCAGATATGGGTTCCGCACGGCGAGAAGGTTCCGAATAGGTGAAATCTTAAAAAACGAAATTCTGCCGAGACGCTGCCTTCATCAGAAAATTCTGAGTTCTGAAAATTTTCAGGTAATGGTCAAAAAACACCGCACATTAGCAGAATTGACACGGATAAGGCGGCAATTCATAAATATGTCCAAGTCAAATCCTATTGATAGTAAGTCTAAGATTGCTTCGCTGTTCATAAACTACCTCAACAGTAATACGTAACTGTAATTTTTGTCGACACTCGCAAGTTTCAGTTGAAGATGAGAAAATCTCACTTTTTCTTGCCCTCGGAACATTAAACGGGTAACAATTGTGATTCATGTCTATTTCTGCAGGTCTCTTTGATTCTTGACGTTGTGAATTTATATCTCGTCGAATATAAAACTTTTCAGTGAAGTGCACAGTATATCAACAATTTTTGGGAAAAATGAAAAGAAAACTGAGAGCTGACTATGGTACATCACCAGAGATGAAATATGAAGTTGTGAGATTGATTTGGACAGATATGATTCAAACCCATACCCTTTTGTTAGAACTTGAGATATCTTGTGATTGAGATCACTTCAACATGACTTCAATGCATATTATTAGCTCGATCAGTGGCTGCTCTCACGGCTTCAATAACAGCGGAACGAAAACCTGAAACTCTATTTGCATTTTTAGTAAAAAAGACCTAGAAATTGCTAGTTTGAGCGAAAATTTACGACTGAGGAGTATTGGCCTATAAACTTTCACTAATAGAATGAATTTTACCTGATTTTTCCAATTCCCGGAGGCCCGCTATTGTTGTTCCACCTGGCGAACACACCTTGTCTT